CACTTGGTTTGCCCACTTCCTGTCTAAAACGCAGAGGCTGGCCAACTAGTTATTTCTATTTATGTATATTGTAATGAAATATGACATATAGTGGAACATTCCAGGCAGAAGCAATAACACTGAGGCTTATTTGAGAACAAGCAGGAGACATATCCTACCCACCAGAAAAAACTGACATGATTTTACCTGTACAGGATATTGTCTCCAACATTCCCTCAAGTCCCAAAACCATGGCCTCTGTAAACACAACACAAGCATGATAATAAACATTGTCAAAATAGTATTGATATTCTTTAAGTCCTATTTCTATAAACAACAAAACAAATGGTATCACATTTAAACATAAGGAGATGTGCTGAAATCCAAGCAAGTGATGTAATGTTAAGTGGTTGTGTTTTCTTATTTGAAGTAACTTACATTAATCAAGCAACTTAATCCAGCAATAAAGGCTGCGCTGTAGAAGAAAAACCTCCATCTGTTAAAGAATAAAGCAGTCATTACTATGCATCTTGCATGTTTTGTACAGCTATATATATATATATATATATATATATATATATATCAATAAGTATGATGACACAGAGATCTCAGCATACGCAGCTTCCCCAAACTTCTTGGTCTGACCCGGCCGGTCCTGGTTCCTGCGTAGCCTGAACCATGTCTCAATTTGCCTCTGACTTTTCCCACACTGTGACATCAGAAGTATTATTTCTTTCTGAAAGATGAAAAAAAAAGTCTTAGTTTGACCACCTGATCTAAGGAGTAGCATGTGACTAATTAATTTTACTATTTATTTTAATATGCATCAAGGTATTCACAGGATTTCCAAACATGTAAAACAAATCACCATAGATTGCAGTTAATAATTTGGCTAAAAGAAAAACAACTTTGCTTTTACAATAGAGATTTTGATCTGGATTGCTATTTTGTAGACAATTATACTGTATGTATCATCATTTATTTTCAGTATTACTACAAAGTTTCAGTTCTGTAACCTGGATTACAATAAGACTATCCCATTTATATAGAAACACTATTAAAACTAAAGCGAGGTGTAACTGTTGTGTTAGTTGCCTATATTAACATATAGTGGAGCTTTCCTTTGGGAGCTGTTTTTCCAGGAACAAGGAAGCGTCTCCATCACGACCTCTTATACAGAGCTTTGTCTCATTGTGCCTTCATTGAAGACGTTTTACTCAGCTCAGATATCTTTAAAGGCTGTGTGCTTTATATCCTCTGGTTTAATGACTTACCTGAGAGGGCTTTCTGCTCTGGTGTTTGTAATAGGACTCCAGCTTAAGGGAGGGGGCTGCAGGCACTTGTAACCTGTCCCTCACCCCCAAACATCTGGACATGGGTGGGGCGCAGAATCTGTGGAGAACAAAGAGCCAGATAATAGCCCTGAGGTGCTTTACTGTAAATTATAAATGACTCATGTGTGGACATTATAACAGGTCACAATCACTATTATCAGATTTCAGCAGAAAACGTTTATAGCAACACTTTTTAAGATTTTGCATGTTTGAACAATATATATAAATAAAATATGTGAAAATGTGGTAATAGCAAAGTACTAAATAATTGAAGGAGATGAAATTTAAGATTTTGAATTTAAACATGTTTTACACATTGTTTAAATTGATTAAATGATGATTAAGTAAACATGTAATTCAACAAAGGCTAAATAGCCTATATTTATTTCTACAGAATACTGTAGCGTATAAAATATGCAGAGAGTGTTATGTGTAATAGGTAATTAAACTTAAAGCATTGTGTGACTAAAACATGAGTCATATCATAGTTAATAAATGTTAATGTTACTGACAATTGTGGTGTCTTTACCCCTGGATAATGTTACAGGAAAACCTCCACACTTACTGTAAATAAACATATTATTCAACACAAGTTATTTAATGACTAAAATAGCTCACAGTCTGCTACGTGATGTGTCTCTCCATCTAAACATTGAACAGCAGTATTTTTCACGTGTGGGTGTACCTCTCAAATAGGTAGCGCAGAACGACAAAGCCCAAAGCAAGGGGCAGCGTGAGGAGCAGGTCCTGGGGTTGGGGGCGTGCGGATGGTCCCAGGCTTTCCATGTCCTCCCAGGTCACCCCCGGAGGAAGCCATAGCTCCTGCCTCCACAAATCTGGCACCAGCTCCATTGTACTATAACTAGATACAGCCTGGAGCAGAAAAACACAAAGAATATTAGTGTTTGTGTGGTTTATTAGGGTCTCGATGGTTATGTAAGTAATAGGTCTAAAATATAGTTGGTACCCTGGAGAGGAGCTTAATACAGAGTGGATAGTATTATTCTGGTGAAAGACACAGCAATGCTCTAACTCATAAATGAATGTTTGCTTGCAATTACAGGCATTGTGTCAACAAAAAAGGATCTCTGCCAACACAAAAGATTATAATTTGTGCATTCTGTGTATGTGTGCGTGTGCGTGTGTGTGTGCGTGTGTGTGTGCTCCTATTCCTCCCATGCTCAGCAGTACATCATGTTTGATTGTGCTATTCCCGCATCCATACGACCACAAAACATTGTGTAGGTTATATGTTTGACTCACGGCCAACTATCCCATTGCATACATTTTAAAATTGGCCTATATTTTTCTATTTGTAATAATAAGATGTTATAGGTCGTATTTAGATTTAGGCTCTATTTTAGACTCACCTGATCGTCTGGCCTCGTTCAGAAATCTTCCAATGTGCAATAAATGTATCCAAAAACAGCTTTTCTGGTTGTGATTGTGGTAATCGGAGATGAGATGCGCTTCAATGCTGCTGAATCCTAGCGACGACACGGAGATAAGTGAGCGGGTGCGCGTAAAGCCACCTTCAGCGAACATAGAGAAACAACGAACTTTCAAAATAAAAACTGTGCAAAAATATGTCGTTTTCTTCTCCTTTATCTAATTTTCTATTGGATAAATATATGTTAAGCAGAATACATATCTTTGATCAACCAATTTTAATCATGTTTTTTTCATTTTTAAGCCTCTATATTTTTCACTGTGGCCAGATGATGGCTTTAACTAGCTTTTATTTTGACACACTTCCGGATTGCTGTTAACGGGATGGTCGCATTCCCAAAGCAGTATGGTTAATGAAACACAAGGGGCGTCTCCTGCTCCTTTAAACCAGCAGCAATAACAAAGACATTGTTTATAATAGAGTGTGTCATGATAGCTCTAATATTGTTAAGTTTAATTATCTATTATTAATTATTAAATTTTTGGACATGCTGTTATAACTTACTGTGATTAACTTACTGTCATTCCCTTTTTGCTGGAAATTAACTTTGATGTATGTAATTCTAAAATGCCTGTGTATATGCCTGCTTATTTTTCTTTGCAGACAACAAGCCCACCCATGTTTGCTTTGAATATCTAAAGTTTAAAGGACTCACAGTTGGAGTCCCACACACCATTGTCCCATGTTGCACTAAAGGGGGAAGAGGGGGAGGGGTCATCTGATTTACTGATATTGCAGTAGTTATGTAGGTGGATCGTGGACTCTATTTCTTTGTTTCAGTAAAAACAGTACACCATAGGAAAGCATATGGTCCATGCGAACATCGAGTCCCTACCTGTATTGTGACTGTGTATTAGAAATATTCATACTGCTTTAGCTGATCTTGTCTAAAACAAATGAGACCACTGATTTGCATAGGCTGCATGCCTCACCATAATGTTGGTAACTTTTTCTTTTTATTGAACCCAAGTAAACAATGCGAAAATGTATAAAGCTGTTTTGCATGCTGTAGTTGTGTAATGTCCGTGTTAATAGTGTTTATGCACACAGAGAGCTCCCAAATATGGCCTAATGTGTGTATACTGTGGTATTTTCCATAGGAGAGTGATTTGCATATGTGTGTGCTGGCTGTGGGTCACTGTGTGCGATTGTGTATAGAGGCACAAGAGAGAGGCTTTGTTCACTGTGTTATTAGGGTCCACTGGAGCACAAATGTATCTGTTGAATTGGGGCAGTAATGAGTCTGACAGTGGTATTCAAACCATCTGTAGGAGTGTGATAAACCAAAGGGGAGTCCTGGGGCTGAGGGTTTTGACAGGACTAAATATAATCAGTGGAGAAGGGTAATAAAGTAGTAAAGTACTGTACTTGAGTATACATTTTAGGTATCTGTATTTTATGTAAAGGTGCATTGTGTAACTTTTATGGTGGAGGCCAGTCAAATATTTTCTCCATAGAGATGTTATTGCTTTGTCTGAAATGTTTCACAGTATGGCATTAAAACCTGCAATCATCATGGAACCCAAACCAGGCCAATTTACAGAAACAACCTTGCTCATAGTTAGAATACTTGTTTTCTAGGTATTTTAGATCAATAAAACCACCTGTAATTGAGTACATGTAAGGTAAATCTGTTTATTGTCATATTGTGGAACATTCAAAAAAGAGAAATGACATATTCATAGAGACAAAAAGGTGACAGACCCTCAACTGAAAAGTTACATCATGCATCTTTAAGTAAATTTTAAAGAGAATGGTTTTTACTGTTACTTCAGTACATCTGAGAACAGGTATCTGTACTTCCTACTCCACTACATTTTTGAACTAGACTGAAAAGTAAAAGTAGTTTTTATGTTTGTCTGTGACCTTCTGAAAAGGCTGACGGCTTATTTTTAACATATTTGTAGTTTGAGTAAACAAAATAATTAATATAATATATAATATAATATATAAAGTTAATTTAATTGTTTTTGCTGAGCAAAATTCAGCACAATTGTTTACAAAAATCATTCCATTTGGATAGATCTCAAAATCTACACAAAAAACTGTTATTTTTTACTATTTAAGTAAATTTTTAAATGGGCATGGTACTTGATACTTTTACTTGGGTAGATTTTTCATGTGATATTTTTACATTTACTTTTATTGGCCCTCACCACTAACAAAGTTAGGGGCGAGGGGTATTGTTCTTCGTCGGTTTCTTTTTTTTTTATTTATTTTTTATTCCCTTTTCCGACCAAACGATCGCATTTTTGACCCCCTGAACATGGACGAAAAGTCCCCAAACCGGGGTCCAGATCGATCGGCCCGGCGAAAAATTCGATAAAATGGGCATTGCGACAATGACCCGAGTGACCCGACTCAACAGCGCCACCTAGAATTCGACCCCTATGGGACTAGGGACAAACAAAGTTTGTCGCAGGGAAACGAAATTCGGGACAGTGATAGAGAACAATGAGACAAGCCAAAAGATGAATTGGAGCATGACCCTATGACGAACAGGAAGTCGGCCATATTGGATCAAACATTCGGCGCCGTTTTGACTTGGGTGTCTACAAAAAGATTCAAGTTCCCGGGGTTTGGTCCAAATGAGCTCAGATTTGACATGTCACATCTACAGACATAAACTCACAGAAATTTTCAACTTTTTTTGGAATACTCCTTATGGTTCGCCCGTAGCACGCCGCCGAAAAACGCCTTCATTTCCTGTTTTTTCGGTGACCTGTCACGGCCACAGGCATTGTCCTAGAGAACTCAAATTCAAATCACAATTGTGTGATCCAGGCCTGAATGTAATGAAATATGAAATCTAATACAAGTGAACTCTATAGCGCCCCCTAGCACAGACATGAAACGTCAACATTATCGGATTTGGACCAAATTCGGAAATTAAATTCTATGCATGATGACAAGCAAAAAAGTCTATTACGGACAAATTGCATTTTCCACTACTGGCCAGCAGGGGCGCAAAGACTCCCCCAAAAAATAGTTAAAAAATGATTGTACCCACAGGGTTAGTCCGATCGTGCTGAAATTTGAATCACTAATGCATGATCACGGCCTGAATATAATACAATATAAAACATATGAAAAGTCAACTCTATAGCGCCCCCTACCATAGACATGAAACGTAAACATTATCGGATTAGCACCAAATTTGGAAATACAATTCTACACATGAATACAAGCAAAAAAGTCCATTATGGATATGATGCATTTTCCACCATTGGCCAGCAGGGGCGCAAAGACTCCCCCAAGAAATAGTTAAAAAATTGTTATATGCCCATGTTTAATCGGATCGTGCTGAAATTTGAATCAATAATGCGTGATCTGAGCCTGAATATAATACACTATAAAGCATATGACAAGTGAACTCTATAGCGGCCCCTACCATAGACATAACATGTCAACATTATTGGATTTGTACCAAATTCAGGGAATAAGTTCTATGCATGATTATGAGCAAAAAAAAAACAAAACAAAAAAAACGGACATGGTGCATTTTCCGCTGTTGGCCAGCAGGGGAGCAATGACTCCTAAAAATATTTAAAGGTGCATTATGGAATGTGTCTAATCGACGAGCTGTCGGCCTGGGCGGATGTCGGGAAGAGAGGGTGGCGTGCCGGGACGGTCGCGAGTCCCCGGAGGTCGCGTGGGGGGGCGGTGCGCGCCCGGGGCGAGGGCCACCATCGCCGCGCGCGGCTTTAATATTTTGTTTAGTTTTTTTTGCTCCAGTATCTCTACTTTTACTTCAGTAACACAACTGAGTACTTCTTCCACCACTGATTATAAAGTTAATATTTCTAATTATCATTTATTTGTCAGTCCCTAATGAGTGTTAAAACAACCACACACAGACTAATAATATATATCTTAGTCCTCCTGAGCAGTCTATTGCTAAGATTAAGATTAAGTGACATTGTGTTTGAGGGATTGAGTGTAAAATACAAAGTTTATTTCTTTTCTGACAGCTTTACGCTTTCTGTATCCAGCGGCCATTGCACAACTTTTTTTTTTTTGCTAGGAACCAGACTAAATAGTAAGGTTTTCTCTGACATGTAGTACACAAAGTATCCACAAGAGTTCAGAAAAGAGCGCAATTTAATTAGCTTGAAGTGAAGGCGATAGATAAAGCGGAATGAGAATCAGAATTAGAATTTATTTGTCATTTCAGCATAAAAAAAAAAAAACAAAAAACAGAAATCGTTTAAAATATCATATGTCAAATACAGTCTTTAAAAACAGCTCCCACCAGCCCCCATTTTCTAAGTCAGTGCTATTTTGTAAGGTGCATTAGTGTCCGGGCTTTCTGACATTGATCTGCCTGGGAAAAACTCTGCCGAAGTCTGGTGGTCCTGGCCTGTAGGTGGCGCAGTCTTCTGGCTGATGGGAGAGCTGTAAAAAGTCCATGTGCTGGGTGGGCGGAGTCCTCCATGATGCTGTAAGCTTCTTTCCTGCACCTTGATATAAATGTATTCAATGCAGGTCAGACTTCAGCTGCAGATGTGCTCAGCAGCTCTTACTACCCTCTGCAGAGCTTTCCTCTCTGCCATGGTGCTGCTGCTGAACCACACAGTCACGTTAGAAGTGAGGATACTCTCCACCGCACACCTGTAAAAGGCCGTCTGGACAGACCTGCTTTTGCGAGGCCCCTAAGAAAGTAGAGGTGTTGATGTGCTTCCTTTAATATGCAACTGGTATTTATAGATGCCAGTTGCATATTAATCATATTACTCATGATTTGGACTCCCAGGTTTTTGAAACAGGAGACAATCTCCACTGCATCTCCATTGATGTATAGAGGAGAGTTCAAAAATCACGATGATCTCCTTAGTTTTCTTTTCTTCACTGATGCACAGATTGTTTTGCACCAGGCTTCCAGCTGACACACCTCCCTTCTGTGGTTGAACTAACTTGATACGAACTAACTTGGTACAAACTAACTTGATACAAACTTTATGCAATATTGCAAACTATGCATTTTATTATTAAAACATAACAAAACAAGTTTACTCCAAATGTACAAGTCTTCAACATTTCTTTACCAACCTGCTTACTGACATGGGCTTTAGTCCTGACGCAGAAGATGGTTCATCTGCGTGAATTAAGACGCCGTGTCTCTTTACGAGTCTCCATTGATCCCTCATAGATTGAATTTGCTCTAAATCTCGTGGATATTGACTGTAGCTCTGCGGCAAGAGTTTAAGCACGTTTCTTTTGTCAGAATTGCAGGTGACAGTTTAGTTCTTCTTGCTAGAGTCAGACTTTTGTGAATAGATGAAGGAAAAATAACCAGACAAAAAGCCCTCAATACGACAACTGTAATGATCAATAACAAACCACTGGACCAACGTCATCTACAAAGCTGTTTTTATTTTTTATTTTATTTTTTTTTTTTTTCAGGAAATATTTTTTATTAACAATGGATTATCAAAAGGTAACAAATTCAGACTAAAAATAAAGGAGCGTTTTTATCAGACATTTCTACAGGCACAGTTTTGGCTGGTGAACTGCAGGAGGACTAAAGGTAAGGATTAAGCGTAGAGATGACATCAGTGCTTTTCATTATGATACCTTCATATTACACAGATTCTCTTCATATTATCCCACAAAGCCTCTTAAAGGGATAGGTGTATAAGCCTCTCTCATCTGTTATAACTTTACGAAAAGAGACTGAAAATCACATTGTTAGAAATAGCTGCTAAACGGTTGGTTAATAGAGCTTTCTACCTGAGGAATGTTTTCTTAGGAATTTACAAAGTATGGTTTGTATCTAAATAAGTAGCATCCAAATATACAGTAAATGATAATAATAAAACTCCTGAATTTAAGGGTTTTAAGTTCCAAATCACATCATATTTAAGGTGTAAACTAGTTTACTCAACTTGCATTTATTCTGCAACTGTTCTGGCTTAGGTTTGCGGCAAAGCACAAACATGCAAGTAAAAAAATAAAACGTATTACTTTGCAATTTCTAGAAAAAAAGGAAAGTACAACATTTTGTAAAACATTGCATTATAAAGTTAAACAGTCTTGATTAAAAAAATGGAAATTGCAACTTTTAAATCTCTAAACTTGTGAAATGTATTAAATCTACTAAACAGAATCTCTTTTTAGCAGCACTGGCAGCTTGGATTTGTGAAACAAGAGTGTGGACCATTATAGTCACAACCTTTGGCTTCATTTGTTCTTTGTTCTTATCATGAGATTAAACCAGAGCATAGTCAAACTGTCCTCTGTCCAGGCCCTCCTTGTGATCGGTCCATGATGAGGCGGGCATGCTGCTGTAGGGGTCCAAGAGGATTCGGACACATCTCACCATAAGAAACAGCAGCAGAAGCACCAAGAGGCCCACCAGGCAGAAGGCTGTGCCCTGCTCCCCATGACCTTCCAGCAAGTCCACATCAGAGCCACCCCGGGGGAATGGAGCTGGAGACGAGAACTCATAGTCCACCACCCAGTAATTTGTGTCAGCCATATTGAGCAGTCAAGTCAGTTCATACAAGAAAAGCTGAAGGTTTCACAACACCAACATTTCAATTTATTTTGCTTTCATATGGCTTTTTGGAATTAACAGAATCAGCTCATGTTCAGATAAGTTTGTTTTCTTTGCAGTAAGTGTGGCTTTATAGAAAGCAATGTGACGCCATAGTTTGAGGCAGAAGGTTAAGTTGTGGTTAGGAAGGGCACGCAGAGTAAAAGAAATGCAAGAGCAATAACCAAATCCCTGCCTCTTAGAAGATAAAACTGGTCTGTCAAAAGCTATAATTCTGTTATGTATTGCAAACAACACAGTGACCTACATGTTTTTATACACACTTCTCTCTTGTTGTAACTTCAGCCATCAGTCTTCCTGGTCTCAGGTGATCAATATTTTTTGTGTCATCAAACAGCATGCCCTCTTTGATGGAGAGGGCTTCTCTGTAGTGACAAATTAAGGTTAAAACTGACCATGTCTCTCAATTTCAACCACTGTCTCACAGATAAATAGAATGACTTCAAACTGGTGTCTGGTTTTGCTGAATTTCTCCATGAAATTTCTTCTTTCCAAAGGGTTACACAGGTCAAGGTTTAATAGTAGTACTGGTGGCATTTGGAGTAAGTTGTAGAATCTGTGGTTACCTAGAAGAGAAACATACACAACATGAAAAACTGTGGCGAGATGCTGACTGAGCTCAAATGTGAGTGATTCAAGGGGTTAAAGGCTGAACAGGGGCCTTGGAACATGTCAAGATGTATAGATTTTCACTGTTTAAAGCTGCACTCATGTGGTTCATGTGTGGTCAGTGGACAAGCCAGTGAAAAATGCACTTGCACTTTCAAATTGTCATTACACAACCACCAAGGTGCTTCAAGAAACCACCAAGGTGCTTCTCACAGAATAATAAAGATATAGTTATTATTTTTTATTTGACAAGGAGAGTCCCACTGAGATGTGGATTTTCATTTATAGGGCAGTCCTAGAGGGGAGATGTTTTCAGTGATAGGGAAACTGAAGAACCTAAAGGAAACCTACACAGACGCAAGGAGAGCATGCATACTCCACATGGAAAATGTTTTCACTTATTCCCCTCTGGGCAATAGTAGACTTACTGAAACTTAACCCAAAAGAGAAATGATTTGGGCACAGTAGCTCACACATTAAAATAAAATAACAAAGAGCAAAATTAAAATAGTGTCTACTGTGCTATCAATCAGCTGCTCATGTCAAGAATGATAATATAACTAATAAATACTTGTATAAAATAATAGAAATACATCCAGGACATTATTCACAGAAAATTTTTTACCCTTGAAGTTTTATCAGATGATCAGATCCATACTTTGTGTCCTTAAATATTACACAAAATTGACTCTTGTGAGTTTATAATATTGTTACCTCCTCAAAAACATATCTCAAGTTGTGTTTTGTTTCATTCACACATGTTTGAGTAACCCTTTATTAAGACTGTCTACATTTCCAAAGCTCAAAATGATTTGTTCCACCTCGTGATGTCATGAAGAGGTAGTTTTCAAGACAGCATCTACCTTTTATCTTTAGTTCATTAGAGAATGGCCAATTCCACAGCTGAAATGACCAGACTGATTCTACGAAATTATATGGAGTTTAAAAACACAGTGGAGCAGTTCCTGTATTACCACATGACATCACAAGATGGAACAGGGTGTTTTCTGTGTGTGAGTAGAGCTCAGCCTAAATATGCAGGGTGTGTGTATTGTGTGAATGCAGTAAAATACTACGCTGGGTATGTTTATAATGAGGGAACAACATTATAACATAGATCAGAAAATAACATAACATGGACTCCTATATTTTTGTGCAGTAATAAAGTGGATTGAATGGTGATTAATATAACAGGAAAAAGTTTGAGTATGCACATATCCCATAGAACCCCATGCACTGCACCCCTGTGAGTTCAACAGCAATATTAGTCCAGCACTAACTCTTGGTCAGCACATTCTATTTGCGGGTCTCCCTCTGACAACTCTCCATCCTCCCAGAGACAGGCATTGATAGTGAGGCTGATGGTCTTAAAGCAAGGCCCAGGCTTTTAATAGGCAACTTAAAGACATAATGAAAGAAAGTGCCTGCCTCAGTATCAATTATCAAATGGGCCGAGGTTACATCTGTGTGGACAGACCAGGTACAGACTGGAACAAACCAACAGGGAAAGTATAGGTGCATGTGACCAGCTAACAATATTCGGAAAAGCTTAAGTTTTATTATTAAATCTAATTAGATCAGTGAACTCTTATCTTCCTGGTGAAGATTCTCCACACTCTAAGGGTGAAATGATTGGAATTGACATGACTGACAGTTGATGTTTTGTTTACCCAGTGGTGTTTTTGTACTATTTGTATAAGTGTTGAGTGTGGCGAGAAAGGCGGGGTGTGTGAGGGTTTTGTTTTTTGTTTATTTGTTTTTTGTCTTAGTTATTTTTGGTCTATTTTTGTGTTGTATATATTCTTAAAATTGAGAAATAAATAAATAAATAAATATGCAGATAATAGTTATATATGATAAAAAATAAGGAGTTACCATTTCAAAAACATGACAGTGTAAAGAATTTGATTTGAGTTTTTACACCAGATGCCCTGCCTGGCAACCCTTTCTGTTTATCAGTCAATAATAAAATAAAATAAAATAAAATAAAATATGCTTCCAGTCTGCCTTGTGTTGAGATGGAAAGGTTGACTAAGGTCACCCTGTCTCTGTGGGGGGAAAAAACTCCTTAAGAAAATAAATAAATAAGACTGTTGTGACAATTTCATGCCCCATCAGTTTTTACTCACTACTGCCCAAACACATAAATCAGTAGCCCTGTGCAGTTTTAGTAAAACACTACTACTACTACTACTACTACTACTACTACTACTACTACTACTACTACTACTACTACTACTACGGTACTCCTTAACTGTTCTAAAACAGGTTAAACAAGTGGACTTTCAACTGCTTTTTTTTTTTTTTTTTTATATTTCAGTGTTTGTCACTGACTGAATCACTCGGTTGTTAGACTATACCTGTTCTCATTTTAACAACACAATGTTGAAAACAGCCATTTGTGTTTTTCGGCAAAGAAGTAATCCCTATAAGCAGTATAGTTTTTTAAAAGTTCAGTTCAGTCAAAAAGAAAAATGTCTGAAGTATTTTGGTTGATGACTGTTAACTAAGTAGAAAAAAGTTGCTTTTCCAAAGTTACTCGCCATTAGCCGAGAAACTCCGTCTTTCGGTTGTTTTTAAAGTGAAAGTAGCATCGGAGGAGACGAATTACTCAACAAACTTCAACGTCAGTGCAACGCATCTCTTGTAAACACGACTTCCTTGTAACGTTGACATTTAAAGTTTTTATCCTGTAGAAATTGGTGTGAAACTTACATGAGGTGGACTCGGACAAGTTCAGCACCGCGGACAGCTCCTCGATTCCTCGGCTCCGGGCTCGTTCCCTGTGGTCCCGTGGTGACACGCGGCTGCAGACCTACTCCACGGGGCTTTAATAAGTTCCACTCTGAGCCCGCCCCCGTGCCTCTTGCCCTTCACGAGGGTCTGTCCGCGCCTAGACGCAGCGCGTAATCTGCGTTTGGATGAGTAAAGGGCCCAGAGCCTGTCGTGGCGAGTGCGTTATATAATAAGACTTGGTGGAGCAGTGACACGGAGGGCCCCTGGTGCTAATGTGACGCAGCTGGAGCCGACTCTGCACCAGTGAACAAAGTAGCTCATCGAACAGCAACTAAGCCAATATAAATACAATAAATAAACACAGCCAAGTCTTTTGCGACTTTTAAACTCTAATGTTATACTTTCACTTGCCACAGCTAGCAATATATTGTTTCTGAAGGCAGTGCTGACCTAATCTTGACAGAAACTTGGCTGCCATCTGGATTCCGACATGCACATTCACATAGAAGAGGTGTCTTGCCAGTGGACATAACTATAGATTCATGTGATTATAAAATTACTGCTTTCCTTACTTGGTGAAGCTGCATTGATTAGATCCACAGTATATGTTCATGTAGCTTGTAAAGATCAGGTCCCCTGTTGCTGGATATACCAATCATGTAAAAGTTTACTGACCTGACAGATAAAACATTAAACAGATAAATATCGAGAAGTCCAATAAATGTAGGTCATAAACAATGTGTTTGTTTACTTGTATTAATTCTCTCACTACATTATTTATCCCAGTCATGTCTGCATAATTTAAGACTTATTACATGATCTGATACAGTTTTTTTTTCTTTTTTTAATAATGCATAATGAAAAGCTTTTGACCTACTGTGCCCCCTCATTTCACTGACTGACTGGTTTGTATATAATGTAAGAGCCCAATTAAAAGCTCACAGACCTGGGTCCTTGTGTCCCAAGTCTGTGCCCTGCCCGAGGCCCGCGGGACGTCCCTGTAGCTTTAATTAATAATCCACAATGTTCCAACGGAAAACATTATCCCCTCACGCAGAGCACAGCGCTCCTGTCAGGCCATAATTGATATACAGAAGTGTGTGGGTAATGAGACTGAGCTGCTTCAGAGGCTTAATTGGAGCGGGTGGTCAGGGGAGGCAGGCCTGGCTCTGGGGCAGGTGTGAGTCAACAGAGCCCTTAGTCTCAAGTGATGGTTCTGCTCTGCACACCCGCAACTATCATTAACAAGCCCAAATATGGCTCTGATGGACAGAACTGCAACTATAAAAAAAATACAATAATACATTTTATATATGGAAAGCTATACTGCATAAAACAAATGTTGCTGAGTTATGTAATATCAGCAGAGTTTATATATAATGTTGCTTTATAAACATGTGAAAGAGTCCAGGATAAAAAGAAAATGAAATGTCTGCAGGTCTAAAGCCTGTCTGTTGTGTTTGTGCAGCCGACCCCACACTATGAGCTCACAGAAATACACTGATTTACACAGTGTTAGACTGTAAAAGACACAGGAGCCAAAGTGTTTCTGTCACTTTCATTCTTTATTCATGTTTTAAAAAATGTGTTTATGTATTATTTGAAATAAGATTGTAGCCAACAGTTTTAATACAGGATTTAATCGTGGCATTACAGCCTCTCTGGGGGTTGTGGGTTTAATTCCTCCCATGCCATTACACAAACCTAGGAAATCTGTGACTGAGCATTTTTAGAGAGGAGGGTCAGCTTAAATAATGTATTCTTATATTGTCTTTGTTTCTGTGATTATTTACACAATTGTATTCAGTAGAGAAATAAATGGTTTATTAAAGGGGGGAGAGACTTGGTGTATGTGTTACTGTAGTGTGGGTTTAGTTGGTATTGGGACAACCCCAGTCATTCATCACTGCAGACAGGAGTGGAATGAGGTCCCCTTCATACTGGGTCGTATGAGTATGAGCAGGCACGTGTTATTTAAAGCCTGATCTATCATCTCAATACAGTGAGATCGATAGATTTATCAAGGAGCTGAACGCTCTGATCCATCAGCATCGATCTAGATGTGCCAGATTTGAAATGAGGAAAACAAAAGGTCTACACACAGAAAGCACTTAATTTTCAACTGTAAGTACCAACATAGCCACACAGAAGATGCTGAGTCGAAGGAACAGAGCAAATCATATTCTGAGTTACCATATTTTAGTAGCAGACAAGAAACATTATTCTCTTTGTAAAGCAAAGATCGATATCTATTTGGATGGTACAATCTTTAGGCATTAAATGTGTTGATGCAACACTTTGTCATCTAGTATGAAATTGATCAAGTATGAAATTTATCAACTTAATCTACTCTATTTAATAAGTTAATGCTAATTAATCTATTTTTGGGAAATCAATTTTTCATTTTCATCTGAGCGGCCTCAAGGCTATATATGCCAATAATGGGAACAAAAAGTGAGGCAAATACTGACAGGGATGTGTGGGATTTAACCTTGAGATCCTTTAGACATAATATGCAGAATAGTAAAAGCAGTAAACATGGACAATAATACACATATTCTACATTATTTCCAGAGTTTCAGCAAACTGTTCGCACACATGTACATACCGTATTTAAAGGCCTTATTTTATAGCAAGGAATTTAACTTACATACAGTATACAGTAAAAGAATGTTAATTCTTATAAATAATATCTTAACCACAAGGCATTCATATTCCACATATAGTCACAGAATTTAACTGACAAAGCAACAACATGAATTTACATGTTTCTAAGCAGTCCTTGAACACATAAAATGGTCCCATTAAACAGCGGACTTTCATTCAGATTTACTTTAACGCATATATATTATATAATGCTACCCCTATGACTTAGAGGTTTCACAAAGTTGATGGCAAATATATTTTCTCATAGTGACTCTTTTGCTACATAGCTAAGCAGTAATATTTACATTAGGGCTGCACCCACACTTGCCTTATCGGTGTCATTTTTGTCCTAGTTTAGTCCAGGTCTAGTGCAAGTTACATTATGGAACCCAGTGTAATCACATTTTTATGAGATGATTATGAAGTGTGAATGCACCCCTAATCTCTCTATTGTTATAATAGTTAATCTGTGTTTCTTCATAATCCTCCGCTGCTTGTTTATCTTTTTTTTTTTTTCTTACAATATATTTACAGACTTGAATTAACCGTACTTTCATTGTCAGTCAAGTATGGGGACAATTTGGTCAGTTACTTTGTTCAGTGCACATCTATGGCTATCCACATGCGGAAAACTGTTTGATGTTCTATGTAGGCTTTCAAGGCATGTTGTTACATTTACATTTCTTGTCTTGTTTCAATTGGCTTGTCAATGTTTTTGAAGCACCCACTTGTCCTAAAGAATCTGCTCCGTACTGGAGGCAGAAATGTCCAAAAGTCTCCAGGCTGCACTGGGGTTGAGCTCCTCCTGGTCCCGACACAATGCCCAAACATACATCATCCGCATCACCTTGTCCTGTTCAGAGGCACAAGGGCACAGGGTCAGATCTCTGAGGACATGTACTTCCAGAGAAAACAACAGGGTATTCTCATGCACATTTAGGTCTCCATTAGGTTTCTCCATTACTAGAAATGCTCTAACTAGACTGCTTGAAATATAATGAAGGAACTGCATGTTAACTGGTTTTATTAAGTACAATATGGTTGTTCTTTATCAACAATAACATTATAATTTTATTTATAAGACAGTAGTTTCTTAAGTAGGAGAGACATGGCAACATATATAAAGAAACAATAGAGGTTAAGAGAAAGTAAAAGACTTTAAAATGGGTGTATTGCCTCTACAGTGGAAAATGATGTGAAAACAGAAGCAAACCGGCACAGGCCAGTATACTTTGTGCTACATAGAAATGCATTTATCAGAAAGAGCAAAGTACACAAAAATGATACGCAAACTTTTCATTCTATTAACAGTGCACAGTGATGTGTACAACATTTTAGTGAATATAAAAAAATTAAGGTTGTACACAAAAACTCATTATGCAGCTGTTTATGTTTTGGATCCTGATCATATCATGTTGCTGGTATTTTTGTAGAGCTTATGGCTGACTCACCGGATCTCCCTCCACAATGTCTCCTTTGGGGCTGCGGATCACCATGACGACCTGAGCCTGGAAGGTGATAATCAGCACTGGGCCCTGGTCCATCATTTTCCCCATAGCCAGCTGCAGCACAAACAAAACACTCATGTATGTGTCCTTGATTTTCTGTAACATTGTATAATGATTGCGCTTACATCTATGTTGTCAATGTCCAAGACTTTGGACTGGAACAAGAGACCCAATGCTCGGGCCTGCTGGATTGGATGGGCCAATTGACTGTAAGTCTAACAACAAGAATCAACAACAATGGGTTCAAATTAAAGATAGGGTCAATAGTACGGATTACAAAAATAGGGTAAAAACTTACAGCTTCATAGCACCAGTCTTTTAATACGTCCAGCTCTCCTCGGATCATAGCCTGCACAAGTGTGCAAGAAAATTGTTTTAGACAAACATTTTATTGTAGGTAATATGTTTAAAGAACATGTTCCTTTTTTCACCTCGAGAATGTTTGGAATAATGTCTTTCTCACACTGTTTGAGGAATGTGTCTTTGTCAAAAGAGGGATCAGCTTTCACAATCTCTGTCAACACCTCCGACATTTCTGTCTTTGAAAAAAGACCACCTAGGTAATAATAAATAAAGTGTTATCAACTGAATATTAAACCAGAACCGCTGAGTAAAACTAGCGTGTTCTTACCAAGAAAGCCTGTCACCCTGTCTGTTACCGCTCTGGATGCCCGGATGACCATATTGTCACTTTCATCATATTTCATCTTCATTTCAAAAAATCCTGAGAGGGAAAGAAAGAATCATGGCACTTAGTGAAAGCAGCACTACATGGTGCCACCTACTGGTCTGATAATATAAAACAGTTATTATTTCCATTCTTATACTATCAGATCACAGCATGGTTTATGTCGACTTACTGTTAAAAACTACATTGTTGTCCTTAAAGTCCTTCCATTGCTGATACCATTTTGAGTCCTTGTGTAGGACAACACCCATTGCCTCCCTATACAAGAAAATTGTCAAAATCAGTAAGTAGATAGACTGTAATAGACCACTGTAATATACGACTCTTTAACAGTTACTTACTCATTGGCTTCATAAACCTTTGAGTCAAAGTCTGTGTCTTTAGAGGAGAACTCTGTTCTCTTTCTCAATTGGGGCGGAGCTCTGTAAGGACCAGCATCACCTACATCTATCTCCTTCTTCACCGCCTCTACCCCCTACAAAACATGTGCATGTAGTAAATAGAAGAGCTTTGCATTTAGAATAATACTGCCTTAAAGTTTTTAAAACATCTGACCTGAGAGATTGCCTTAAATGCACCAGACTTGCCAAGTTTCTCTCCTCCTTTAGACACAGACTCTGCAGAGTGAATGGCTGTGCGAGCTGCTCCCTCAACTCCCTCCTTTATCTTTTTTCCCAGATCAGTACGAGTCACCTCCTCCAAACCCTAAAACAACAACAAATGGGCCTACAGTTTCTTTCTGTAATAATAAACAAACAAAACGTAAACAAAATGTCAAGTTATGATGTGAATCCGACCTCCTTCATAGTTTCTGACAGAGAACCTAGTGTCTTCTTAAACACTTCTGATGTCTTCACCGTCTCAGCTTCTATTGATTTCTGATATCATAACAAAGAACAAATAATATATAAGAAAAGGTGAAGGGTGAAGGTGAACGATCTCTATAACATAATACTTACATATTTGCGGCGAGCTTGTTGAAGGGCATCTGACTCCTCAAGTCTTTTGGCCTCTTCTCTGAACTTCTTAATGTTCTCTTTCATCTCCTGATTCTTGCTGAACTCCTGCCGTAGGTTATCCACAAACTCACCAAGAAAACCTTTGCGCCCAGATGAATACCGCACCTATACAATGTAAAAAGAGACATGAGCATATGCATCTAAAGGTAGACAAACTAAAGAGAACATTTTTACAAGATTAATTTAAATGTAACTATATAACTAATGAACAACATCAGTGATTTGAATATACTAGTACAGTGTACAATAAAGTTTGCAGTACCTGCACAGATGTGACAGGGCTTCTTTGCAGCCTATAGACATCTTTGTGGCAAACCAAGGACACCAGGGGCCGTGAGCAAAGGGTCAGTGCTCGTCTGCCGACCAGCTGCAGGGCCAGAATAACAACACTACGGTTATATAGCAGCAGGAGGATCTCAAGGACCCCATACTAAAGCATAAAATCTCCCATCAGAACTGTCAGCAGGCACCTTTCTTCGCACACTCAAAACATATATGCACGTTCACAAATGTAGGCGAAGTAGTGGCCACGAGGTATTATTCAGGTAATGCTACAACCACAAGTAAACTGACATTTATCAACTGTCTGCTAATCTGATGCAACTGAATACAGAAGAGGGCAATTATATTTCAAAATAAAACATCACCCGCTGATTTCATACACTGAAACAAAGGCAATCCATCTTATTAAGATATAGAAAACTGAGTAGCAAAAAGTGGACTGGGAATGAATGAAAAAATTAATAAATTACCTCGTAACACCGACACACGGAGGCCGCCATCTTGATCTTGAAGTGCGAAGAGACGCACGTGGTTTCCCCTGCGTCAGCTGACCGTAGTTTGGACCAATAATAAGAGAGCAACTGGGCGGAAGGCGGAGTCAGCTGTCACTGCTGCTTTAAAGGCACATAGACGTCCTAAAGACGTCTATGTCCTAAAGACAGCCTACAAACATCCTAAAAACACCCCATATATATATATATATATACACATATACAAACATCCTAAAAACACCCCATATATATATATATATGGGGTGTTTTTAGGATGTTTGTAGGCTGTCTTTAGGACGTGTATGTATATATATATATATATATATATATATATATATATATATATATATATATATATATATATATATATATATATATATATATATATATATGTGTGTGTGTGTGTGTGTGTGCGCGCGCGTGTGTGTGTGTCTATCTATCTATCTATATATATATATATATATATATTATATATATATATACACACACACACACACACACACACACACACTATATACTATATACTATATAATATATATATAATATATAATATATATATATATATATATATACTTTTTTTGAGTTTGTAACAATTACGCCAACATTAAAGCATATAATCTTTGCAGCATTCGTGCAAACAAGTGCGGTTCAGTCAGAGTATGCGTCAAACTCAAATTCACTTAAGAATAAAAAAAAAGAGCTCCACCACATTTCCTGTTGCTATATTTGTTACGTTTCTATAGGTTTAAAAATTGTGTTTAGGGGCTCTATAAAAAGCACAAATCAATCTAATTTACATAGGCTATTTTTTTAAACACGCACTGATAAAATATCAATGATTGTGAATGATAGTTTCCTCGCGCTGAACGCAAACACTGCTGGTATGCCAGTAGAGCGCGCCCCCTGGCGATAGCTATGCGCACTACAGGGACTCCTCCCCTCCCTCTGCAGACTTCAGCTCCTTTTCTGCGGCCAGTTCGCCCTGACAGCAGCCGACTCTGGCGCACACTCCCATTCCAAACCATTATCTATCTTTATTATATCTTACAGCAAAGACCATCTCACGCCCGTTTCAACGCAGCGTTTTCCGGGGACCAGCGTAGCAGCCTCGTGTAGAATGGGGAACCGAGACGATGAATACGATTTCTTGTTCAAAGGTAAGGATGACTGCATTCCCTCTCGACAGCGACAAAGCTATCATGATAGAAGCCTGTATCAGATTTTGTGGTTCTCGTTAGCTTCATATGAACATCTGAAGTGACAGTTGTGTTGTTTTTATCACCACTGACAGTCAGTAGGTCTATTACAACACAATACTCTCATTGTAACATCACATCGCCTCAAGCTATATTTATAGGATGCAACACCCAATCCATGCGCTGCCTTTGTATTAAACTTTTATCAACTCACAGTGCAGTAATTGGCTACAGTAAAGCTAGTGTTATTTATGGGCTTGTTTTTCATTTGTGACCCATTTCACCTTATCCCAGGCCTGTGTGCGCCTGTACCTAGTATTGATCCACAGACATCCTCCTCCTATGAAGATGCTCTGGGAAGATGCTTATTATGCAGCAAAAAGTCCTAGTGAATTTGTTTTAGCTTGTGCTGTGCCCTTGTGGGTTGACCTAATATGTAGCTGATTATTGGCCTATATTTATGTTTGTATCTAGAATGGCTCCCTTTGATCGTAATCCTGTGGCACATTAACATCCTGGGCCTGCACAAGCTAAAAGGCCATTTAGATGTAACAAAGTCTCCTCTGTGGGATGAATAGGGCATCTGGTGAAGCGGAGGAGCCCCCACACTGAGCATCATACACCCCCCAATTTGGTTCTACTCTCCTGGGCTATACCCGATCCATCACCTAAACCCAAGTCCGAACAGGAAGGGCAAGGCGCTGTGAAACTGTCGATTCAGGTTTTGATGAGGCTGTTATCAGCTTCCTGCAGCCTGGGGGGAGCACTGTGTCGGACAGGGACAAAGTTGGGCTCAATTTCCTCAGTGAAGAAAACAACAGTGCTCCACCTCCGCTGTGATGTGAACAACAGACACCAGGATGGACACCACACACAAACAAGCAGACAAACTAATCTCATTTCACTATGGTGTTGCAACCACTTCGATGGGCTATTACTCATAGTACTTAGAATTTCAGCATATTACAGAGATGTGCTTGCTTCCTCTGTGGTGGATACTTTGCTAAAGGACAATTACACATTGTAAATTTCTTTTAGCTACATTTTAGTGTTCCTATTTTCAGTAGAAATTACTATGCAGTTCAGCTTCCTATGACCCCTGAGTTTTCTCACATACATATATTGTTTACATGCCACAAGGACTACACTGTAAGTTATGATTCGACATGTGACATCAGTAGATAATTGCATTCTCCGGTTTACATTGATGCAGCCTGTAAAACCACTAACTCCCAGGCATCCCAAGCAGGTCCACCAAATCATGTGGTTATTTTTGGTTATTCCCCAGTAATAAACCTTATCTTACTTTATAAACTTGGAATACCTGTATCACTATGTTGAAAACTCAACCATTAAAAGTGCAGTATGTAACTTTTATGTTGGTAGTTCCACTATCTCCATCGAGATGCTCAGAATGTCTATAATGTCTAAAATGTCATATATGTTATCTGATTTGTTTTTTTTCATTTTCACCAAAAAACTAATTCTAACTGTAAGTATTAGCCTGTACACAGATCTGACCTGTTACTTGGTCTGGTTGAGCCACTTGCTTAGGAAGAGGTGTTGTTTGTCCCCATAGATTTTATGCCATAGTGGAATATTCCAGACAAATCAATAACATCTTCAAAGCAAGCAAGGTGGTGAGCCCTCCACCAGAAGTTACAGAGGTGTGCACATTTAAAAGATGACATAATTATCTACTGTACAGTTATTTCATATTATTGGACCATAGTGTCCATCATCTTCTTACGTGTTTGCACCAATGTCACCTTTTTCCTTTTTCTTTCTGTGTCTTCACAGTCGTGTTGATCGGGGACTCGGGTGTAGGCAAGAGTAACCTTCTGTCTCGATTCACAAGGAATGAGTTTAACTTGGAGAGTAAGAGCACCATTGGGGTGGAGTTTGCCACACGCAGCATCCAGGTGGACGGAAAGACAATAAAGGCTCAGATCTGGGATACTGCAGGACAGGAGCGTTACAGAGCCATCACCTCAGCGTGAGTCCATGTCTAGTACTATAACTAAATTTCGGTTGTGCTTGGTACTTCTGATGACATTTTCAATGTGTACAAATTACTGAAATCAACAACATAAGGACATAGAGATTACCAATGTCACTACAACTATTAGTTACTTTTAAAACCACAATCAAAAAAGATAACTCGTCCTTCACTACAGATAAACTTTTTCCAGTACAAAATAAGAATTATTTATTATAATTGTGATTATTATATATGTAATTAAGCAGTATATATTATTTGATCTAGAGCTGCAATTTACTAATCAGAATAAGCTATAAAATATTTGTCTTATTTGGAGGAGCACTTTATTTGGCTGCTTATTTAGTGAAATCTGTTATTGTTTCTGCTTTGTCTTTGTAAGAGACTGTAGTAGGAGGTTTTGGTTATAATAACTCTATAGACGCTGCCTTGACTTTTTGTCTCCTCAGGTACTACAGAGGGGCAGTGGGGGCACTCTTAGTCTATGACATTGCCAAACACTTGACTTATGAGAATGTGGAGCGTTGGCTAAAAGAGCTGAGGGACCATGCGGACAACAACATAGTGATCATGTTGGTGGGAAACAAGAGCGACCTGCGCCACCTCAGAGCTGTGCCCACAGACGAGGCCCGGGCCTTCGCAGGTGATCTCTCTCATGTATATTCTTTCTGGCTAACCACTTGAGAACAAACTCAAGCAAGCTCTTTAAATTCTCCTGCTTTATTCACAGAAAAGAACAATCTGTCATTCATTGAAACTTCAGCTTTGGACTCAACAAATGTCGAAGAGGCCTTCAAGAATATTCTTACAGGTGAGTTTTTTCTATGGGCTGGCCATGGTGCAAATGAAGAGACTGTAATAATTTGTTCCTCTAACTATATTATAGGGGGTTTAAAGCCATACGACCCAAATGCTACATAAACTGTTCACAGGGTATATTATCTTATCAATATTTATTTATCTTTGTTTGATAGGTGAAGGACAACTCCTGTTAAGTATAGGACATTTGTAAAACTGAACTTGAGAAACTTCCTCTCTGAAGAGGAAGTGTATTTTGTTTATATTCACCTGTACAGCAAATGGCTATTATAAACAGGTTCTTTTACAAGCATAAGTGTAACAACACACATGCTAAAACCTTTGTTTTTTCCTTGCTCCAGAAATATATCGGATTGTATCGCAGAAACAGATTGCAGAGCGGTCCGCCCATGATGAGTCTCCAGGGAATAATGTGGTAGACATCAGTGTGCCACCGACCACAGACGGCCAGAGGGGGAACAAGCTGCAGTGCTGTCAGAATCTGTAGCCCTGCACGTCTCACCTTCACCTGGGTCAATTATTAGTTGAAATCTAGTGTGCTGGTCTGCTTCCATTTGCTTGAGGTGCAATATTGTGTTAGTCTGCACTTTTTAATGAGCAAGATCAGTTCCTTTAAGTCACAAATGTTCAGTCCTCTGAGCTGTATGAAATGATTTCAAATCATAATGACCCAGGTTTGCTACACTGTAGTGCAAAGCCAGGACTGATGGTATTGTTCAAAAGCTACCCGTTACTTTTGATTGTGGAGCAGACGGCTGAGGCCTTTTCTGTGCTGCAGGCCTCCAGGTAACCCTGCTTGTTTCTCTTCATACCAGCAGTCCTGTTTTGGGCTTCCTCATCCTTGTCAAGTCATCATCTCAAAGTGGTTTTGATGCTGCTGATGCTTTCTTTTTGTGTAAAGTATATTTTTTGTTTTGATAGCTTGTCTGCTCACATACATTATATTAATGCCATGGATAAATTTTACAATACTGAGATGCTCTGTTCTTGTTTTAAAAACACAAGGTAGCTCACTCTTCTAACTAAGCCTAGTCCAGAGCTGTTTTTTTTTCCTCTAACCCAAAGTATAACCAGGGTCTGCCCCTGAAGGAGAGCTCTGAATAAACTGTACTGCATATTTATCAGTTACTATACCCAAAACCAATTTTGTGAAAGGCCACACTCTAAATCTGATTATTACCATATTTTTCAATTGGCTTAAAACTTAGAAAATTTCAGAGGTGCACGTCGGTCGACGCAGACGCTCTTCGTAGGGGTTTCACGTTGTAGGGCATTCACGTCGACGCACACTCTGCGTCGTGATGCAGACGATTTGACGCTGGACCGTAAATTGGCCTTTAATACACATAAACAGACCATGGCCTCTCTGATTACTTACATCAGTTTTTATGGTTTGCATATACTTTCAATAATCTTAAAGGTCTAGAAATCTGATGATCAGATTTTGGTGTGTATGTAAACAAAGTTACTGAGTCGGCTTGGCCTGAGTATGGTAACTCTGGGTTAAGATTTCAACTCCAGTGGTGGAGTGGTTTAAGGCATTGCACATTGTTGTGTTACCACCTTGGCCCATGACCATTTACCAATATCTACCCTCTCTTTCCCATTTTACACTACAGCTGTCCTGTTCAATAAAAACTTTGGCCAGTCAAAACATACAGTTAGTCAGGAAACTGTTGTGTGAAATGGGGCCCATGGTCCATAAAATCAGAAAAATCACAAAATCAGAAACATAAACATAACCACACAGTGTGAATCCAGAAGTCCCTCATGTTTATTGCACAATAACCCAACTTTCCAAGGGATGCAGCAGGAAGACTACAACAACACAAATTACTTTGTTAGTGTGTGCTGCATACATTGATTGACATCTCAAATCAGTGAAGATTGCCAAGCTTTGGCACATTTTACACTTGCACCTCGACTACCAGCCTACTCTGGTACTGATCAGTTTTATGTAGGACAAAACTTGTCATCTTCTCCCCTGAACACTGTTTTTCCCTTATTTTAAATCTCATCTTCCATGACAGGACATAACACTACTAGTCATAGCTAGGCAGCTCAAAGAATGAATGGTGCATTTACAAGTGGAGCAGGGTTGTTGTAATGCGCTTTTACAATAGTCATAGAAACTGCACCCAGTTTAACTGTAAAGAAATGTCTGGACCTTCAACACTTTCTTTATGCACCACAGCCTGCCCGTTTAACGGACAGTTTTAAAACCTTATGCTACAATCTAACCCCATGTGCGAAATGTTTCAACTACTATGAGGTTTTCATAATAACAAGCCTTTAACCATAAAATTTAAAGGGATTCAGATAACCAGGAGCAGTGCCAGTAATGTTATCAGTACCATCCACTGGGTTACTGAATGCCCATTTAACACCAGCTAAATACATTGTGCAGGGCATGGGGTTATAGGTAGTGAGTAATGTTTCATATTATATTGTAGTAGCATGCTGCATCAGTAATAACCTGCTACATTAGCTTGTGTCTTAGTCTCATAGGTTTGTGTTGGACATTATGTCAGGCTGGTAAGTCAATGCACACAGAGCAGCTCATATGGCAGCTCTACCTGTCCGTTGAGTGTCATTAAACTGTGACTCTGCAATGAGTTCTTTCCAAGACACTTCAGTGGTCTCCCAATACTGTTGTATCATACATCAAGTGCTTCCATAAAAGAAAAAGAAAGGTCTGTCCCTCTCCAAATGGTCCAGGTGAAGTGCAAAAGTTTATTTGTAAGTTTTAGAGAGTGCTTCAGTGGGCGTTTTTTGCTCCGCACTCATACGATGGTCTCATCAGTCATTTTCTTGGTCGACTTGGTTGGCATGGAGCGTTGGGTGGTGTGGCCCCCTTTCATGTCAGGCATGAGCAGACGCACCTTCTGATTGGTCCTCCTCCACTCCGAGTACAACTGACAGTGATACCGAAAGGACACCTGAGAGTGAGAGCAGGCAGAAACATAATATTTGAGACATTGTAGAACAGACTGGAGACTTCACAGTAAATACTGAAATGGCCTGGTTGACATACACACAATTTAACACATTTTACCATTAAAATTCAGCATAAAAAGGGGTATTTTATGCTAGCAAAGATGAATTCTTTACTTGATCTACAAATCTAGGTTTGCAGGGCTAGAATGAGCCAGGCCAGAATCATGTTTATTATAAGTTATTATCCAGGTACTACTGTTTTGGCAGAGAAATACATGTCTCTATTATTATAACTATTCATAGTTATATTATATTATTCATAGAATGGAAGGTGTGAGAATGACAAAAGGGAAAGGAAAAGGTTCCCATTTCAATAAATGTTCAGGTAAATCTACAGTTGGAAGTTTGTAAATGGTATGAACTGAAAAGGGAATTCAGATACCAAAGATATTTACTACTATCTTATCAAAGATTTTAAATTACCAGTGTCCAGAGGATATAAATGGTGAAGAGAGCAATGGTGAGTGCGATGAGACCCACAGCCTCCAGTCTGCTCTTGAGCTGGAGATGGTCCTGAGCTCCTCTCAGACACAGCCAGCCCGAAATGGCTGCGAGCGGCGTGATCAGCAGGAAGCACGCCATGTCACAGAGCAGAGTACGCTTTTCACTGCGGGGACCGGGGTCCTTCAGCCACTGAACAAGACAAATTAGTTTTATTAGCATATACATATACATTCATGTTGTTTTCATCATTATATTCAGTATTTAATAAACAATACAATATTCAGTATTTTTCTTGAAACATTTGTCTCAGTCTTATTTACCTGTGTGAGAGGCTGTGGTCGCCGCTCAATGGTGAACTCAGTGTGGCAGAGCTCACAGTAGCTGGTGTTGGAGGATGACAACCACTTCTCCAGACAGCTTTTGTGCACTTTACCCAGAGTCCCGGTGCAGTCACAAGGGGACAACAGGGTCTCTCCTCCTGCCCCCTCATGACAGATTCGGCACATGCCCACATCACTGGAGAATTACAAGGAGTAGAGAGAAATTAAATATGTACCATACTTGTGATGTTGTGTTTTACGCAAACCATTCCATACCACCCTGAGCATGCCCAATCTTGTCTGATCTTGGAAGCTAAGTGGGGCTGGGGCCTGAGTAGCACTTGGATGGGAACCTGCTGGGATACTAGGTACCATAGTGGGGTAGCTGTAGCTCTAGTCTAGTGTATACTTAGTCTAGACACTTCACCCACCTAGCCTAGTATGGATGTGGTGTGTGAAGAAGTGATAATAGTACCACCCTTAGTATAGTGTGAATGCACATAAATGTAAAATGACTTTGTGTGGCTACAAAAATACGAAACATTCTTACTTAGATTTAGGCTTAGAATGTAAATATATAGCCATATTGGACACTTCTTTCACAATCTTGAACATAAGAAATTTACACTGATAAATACAGCAGTTGTATTTTTGAAAACAGTAACCAATAAATTAGGCATTAAAGTGTACCACTTTAATGCCTCAACCTTGATATTTGTTGTGCGTAAATAAACTTTTGGATATTTCAAAACCTACCTTTGCAAACTGACAGCCTTTACAACAGTGGAGAGTGGGCGTCCATCTTTAGCTGTGACTTTGGCAACATACTGTGCCTGTGCAGTGGAGTCGGACTCCTCTGACTCTTTGGAGGTTTCTGATTCAGCACTGCCAGAGTAATCACACAGGGATCCAGGCAGGTGACAGCAGCCGGAGGAGGACATGGCTCTGCTCACAGGGACAAGGAACAGGCAATGGTGGGCCACTCCAGAGGAAAGTTAATGCTTATGATGTCTTCACTCCTCTTCTGCCTACAGGGCATCATAGCACATTAATATGGTCACAATTTAGCCCATTGTAACAGTTATTTACACCCTGAACAGAACCAGAAATTGGATGACATTATTTAAACGTTGTACGAATTGAAATATATTAGCATATATGTTAGTTTACAATGTAAGTTTACTAACATATATCATATGTATAGTATAGAATAGTAAAGAATAGTATAGTATAGTATAGTATAGTATAGTATAGTATAACATGTAAACTGTAAGCAAAAAATGACCACGGTTACACTGAAAATGTGTGTAACATAACGTTAAACGGTTCCCTTAACAGCAAAATAAGCACTGGTCTCGTTAATAAATATATATACATATGTATATATATTGTTAGGTTGCCTCTTAGCACCTCTACACAGCAACACACTAACATTGTTGTGGTTGTAGAATAGTGGCCTTAGCTATCAATTATAATACACGGCTCGTTGTAAATGTAATAGCCGATGCGATGTGTATTGCATTGGACACCGTTAAAGCAGACACAGAGAGAAGCCACATAATGTTAGCCCTTTTTGTGTAATTGAAAAGGTGTCTCCTCGAGTATTAGCTCTTTCCCAAAGGTATAGTTGCCACATACGGGCTGGTGAAAAAACACAGATTGACAAATAGGCGAAAGCCTAAATCCACTCACCCACGGCCTCCCTTTTTCTGGCTCGGCCTTGGCCTTGGCCTGTGTTATCCAGACGCTGCCTGCTTCACTACCTACACAGCCCGAGCAAAGAAAAGGACGTCAACATCCAGCCCAAAACCATCCACACGACTGTTCACGGGAGACCACCACTGGTACTGTGCCCTCCCCATGACCTCAGGGCTCCTCATGCAGCTGCTGTTGTTTAGAAAAGCGAAAGGGACGGACAGTCCTGCAGGATTACCATAGACAGCTAACGAGGCTAAGTGGCTAGCAAGGGCCAACCTACCTCAGCAGCATCTCAGCTGTGTGCCCTGGTCACGTGACACGCTGTCGTACTGTAAGCAGGCCGGCCAGACGGGCTCCTCCACAAAAACTCTATTTGCGTGGACTGTGGCGTTTACAGCAGCAAATACTTACAATCAGAGAAGTGTGAATGTCAGAAGGATGTCAATTTAGGCTGATACCACAATCAACTATCTGGACTTTTATCTGGGCTGTCATGGCCATAGGCCTAGTTCAAATACAGGACTTGGTGCAGCCATAAGTATGAGATAAGAGGCTGAGAGATATATGTGACACAATAAAATATAGAATATTTAGACATTTTTTCGTGGTATTCTCATATATTGTTATATATTTTCACCACAAGGGGGAGTCGATGTTCTGTGTTGAGCGGTGAGAGATCTTATTATAGGCTTTTTCTATGGAGGAAACATGTTGGAAGTGATTGAAAAAAAAAAAAGTAAACAAACAAGTGCTATAACCCTCTTCAGTCTATTTGTGATGCTAAATAGAGCTTATACAAACGCAAATTTTTAACCATTAATCAAACAATTTCTATTTTGGTCCCATTCTGTCAATTCTGTCATGTCCTTTTGCTCCCTTTGAACCCAAACACTGATAAGAGTCCACACACTGAGCGAGTGATCTCAACTCATGAACACAAGGGTGTATACAGCTCGTCCAAAGTTCTTCAAGACTCAAACTGATCTGGACTTTAACACATGCATCTGACACTCTCTTGATTGTAGGCTATAGTGCATATAGCTATATTGAAAGTCTACATGCATTTTCACCTGTCTATTTGATCATTAGAATTGAACTGGTTTGAAACGCTTGCTTTGCTATTCATTCAGATTTAATTTATTTTTTTTATCCCAGATTAAAACAGACAAAGCTTTAAATGGCCTAAAGACAATAATAAAAAAACTTAGTAATTTCTAATATTTACTATATTGTTTATCTAGTCAAAAACATTCAACTTAGTTTCATCATTTAACTGAACTCAAAAGGTTTAACAGGGTTATATTGTTGTACAAATTTGAACTATATTTGACTGCTACTGTACAATGCGATCTTTAAAGGGCCTATGTTATTTCTCATCAAAAACACACCTTGATGTTTGTTTTGATTCATTCACACATATTTAACACATTTAGGTTGAATTCTTCTCTCAAAAAATTCTATTCCACCTTGTGATATCATGTGGTAATACAGGAGGTGTTCCACTGTGTTTTTAAACTCTATACACATTCACTAGAATCATTTGGTGGACTGCAGCCATGAACTGGCCAATCTCTACTGAACTAAAGGTACTTGTTAACTTGAAAACTACCACTACATGAGATCACGAGATGGAACAGAGCATTTTGAGCTTCAGAGCTGTAGACAGTAGGATTACTGAAACATATGTGAATATAAGAAACCATTCACAAGATCACAATAATGAACTTTAAAAACTATAGGACCTTTAAACTAATCAGTTTCTCATTGTTTGATTCCTGTGAGACTGAAATACTTTAATGCATTTTTTCACAGCTGCTGAATCAATAGACATGGTGATCAATGTAGCTGTCACCAACATAGCAGTTACTCTTCTCCTACTGGTCAAGCTGTAAGTGAATGACAACAAATCACAGTGAAGTGAATTTTCAGGAAAAAGGTGAAAAGGTGAAAGTTGAAAAACGTCCAAATGAGAACAGTCTACTTACCTGCTAATAGATTACAATTAAGCTTGTGCTCTCTGTCACAAGACAAGTAACTGGGAACATTATGCTGCATGCTCAAGTCACCCGCATGACTTCTAACTCAACTCATACTACACAGCTGGCTGCTTCCACTTACAAACAGCATGGATTCATTCAGTGTCTTTATTAAATTTAACAGTGGCCAACATGGATACACCTAGAGCTAGGCTATGTGTTCCAAAATTTCGTCTTTATAGTTTGCCCTATTTCTGGAAGAGTCGTGCCATTTCCAACTTGCTTTGTTTGTTTAATATATAGGCCGAACGGGTTCAGTACAGTTCACTGTGACTATTCATGTCAAAGCAAGTCTGGCCATTCATATGAGACTGGGGTGTTTACTCTGTTAAGTAGGTAAAATAGTTGACCAACATGCTCAAAAACTCTAGAAAGACAAGCACTATGCTGTGAGCAGGGTTGCCCCTTCAAAGACCTGACCTCTACCTGGGCCTAATGGCATCACGTGCTTATCTCCACTAAGATAGCCAAGTTGAAAAATTCATCTAAAATCATCTTTATGAAGATAAGCAAGTGGATCTTGGTGTACCCTCCAACAGAAAAGTTAGTGGACCTTTAAAGATGCAAAATTCTGATGTAGCTGTAGCCTTTCTTCATGAGACTTATTGCTTTCAACAAATTAAAAAAAAAAGAAAGACGATTCCAAACCCAACTTTTATCCCGTAATTGGGCAAAAAACTACCCTGTGTACACCACACTACCAGACTGTAGTACATACCATATCTTTTGACAGCTACAGCATTTTTCTGGTGTCTCTTTTATTAATAGGTTTGCAATAATGACTAAAAGAGCAAAGCAGTGCCTTCTTTCAGTCAAACCGTGAGTCAAACACTGACAATGACCTGAAGATCGTTCATTGATGTGCATGTGAACGCTGCATGATCAGGGCGGGCGCTCGCAGCGTCACGGGCGGCTGCAGCCAATAGCGGGCTCCGCTGTGCAGCCTGTCGCTGGAACTGGACACACTCGGATCTGTCCTATCGTCTGTGTCGCTGCGGAGATGGAAGCAGGGGGGCAAATCAAGTCAGTGTCGTAGATGCTCCATATAACCATCAGTCCGAGTGTGAGCTGAGGTTTGTTCTTCATCGAGCGGGTAATCTACTCTTTTTCCTGGCACCTCCCTCGGTAACACTGCCTGGAGGTCGCAAGCTAAGGGCCGAGGCTGAAGCATCGTCGCCCGCTTCTGCTGCTCTGTCGAACTTGCCCATCGCACTGCGCATCTTTTCCTCTTAAAGCCGAAGGAAAAGAGAAATTAGGGAATCCAAGAAGCCTCGCTTTTGCATCCGTGTCGTGCTCTGCCTGTCGGCGGAGCATGCTATATAATGAGCCAAAAGGACACACTGGTTCATTTATTTGCTGGAGGGTAAGTCGATCTGCTAAACAGTTGTAGGCTTGAGCTTGACTTAAGGTTTTATATTTAGTCGCAAAATTAAAACTAAACAAACAAACAAAAATAAATAAATAAATCAAAAAACAAAACTGGCTGGCAGCACCAACGACTGTTCAGGTTTCTTTAGCTAACGTCCTCATTACCTGTAAAGGGCCCTGTCTTTCCCGCTGCAGTGATCGAGGCTGCTGCAACTCACAGCCTACACTCTTCCGCTAAAATATACTTCATTTACAATCAAAATTACCACTAGTGTCCTATAAACCCATATTAAGGACTGAAAACGTGATGTTTATTTTCTTGTGAAATCTGGTTTGTGGTGTTTTAGTAACAACAAAACGACCTACATTCTGTGACAAGATTTATTAGAGGTATGCATGTTAAGCATTGTAACGAAGCTATCATACGCCTGGTACACAGCCGAGCTAACATTAGATCCATGAGGCTTATGGATCTCACTATATAAAGTTAGCCACCAGTTTTAAACGTAAACGTCAAAACTCAGTACTGCGCAGATGATCTCATTCACTCACCGGTCTTATAGTAGCCCCTTTGTCTCTTTTCCTTGTCCAGACGCCCTAATCATTGTCAGTGACATTCGGATAATTAATCTAATCAAAGCACTCTGTTTTACTATCTTGTGCTCATGGAAAATTGAAACAAATCTTTGGTTTAACAAAAAACATTGGCCAGTGCTTCCTTCACGTTCTATCTGCTACATACAGTAGTACACTCAACACTGAACATAGAAAGTAGGGCAAGGGTCACCAGTGCTCATGAATGTGGGTCGTCTTCTGAAAGGTAAATATAGCCAGCGTTTAACTGAAGGAGCCTGTAACTTGAGGATATTGTGATTGTTTTTATCTATTGAACCATCTGTTCTTTGTTTTGCATTTGAGACAACTGAAAGATGACAAAGACGTTAAAATGTATTGTTAAAATTTAAAATTCATATTAATATTTAGTTTCCTACTTTTGTTGTATTTCTTACCAGTAGGACAACAACAACTAACTGTATGAAACTAAATACTCCAATAATTATGGAAAAAAGAAGTTTTGCTGCCAATAAAAAAAAAACCCAAAACATTATCTTTACATCTGTATGCTCTATCATATGTTCCTCTGGTGTTCTATCTTTAACTTAATTAATGTGAAAGTTAAACATAAATTATATGATTTATGTGCTTATTATTGGCAAGCAGCTGTATTTTTACTGGTTTCATTTTACACAAAAATGTTACTTTTGTAGATGCGGAGGAACGGTGGGCGCTATTCTGACCTGTCCATTGGAGGTGGTGAAGACTAGACTGCAGTCCTCCTCTATCACGCTATATGTTTCTGAAGTCCAGCTCAGCACTGTTAATGGAGCCAGTGTGGCCCGCATGGCCCCCCCTGGGCCCATGCATTGTCTCAAGTAAGAGTTTCAACAACTGTTTCAAAAAACATGTGTTTAAAGGAAAATATAATATAATTATGCTGGGTTTAAAATGAATGTATTAGCATTTCATCTCCACACAGAATATTTAAGCGGGATGCAGTTCATTCTAAGATTCTATATGGGACATGGGCTAGATAAACCAGCCATGCTCTGCCTCTAAGTAAACAACCGGTAGCTGAAATCGTACACCACAAATATTTGATACAGAGCTGTGGAAGAGAGAGAGCAGTAACAGAGACACATGACCTGCTCCAACTCAAGGAGGTCAGTGTGTAATCAGGCAAATTTATCTTTGGCATTTTTTCTGTTTTGTTTTTTTCATACTACACATTTTTACATTGTTGAAATAGATTGTGTAGCAGTGCAGAAATCATAAATGACAGCAACTGGTTAGTAAATGTATGTACTACTGCTGGCTCAGTATGTGTATGAAGTGTTAATGCTAATTCTTGAGCTCCATTGAAAAACCCTCAGTGTCACAGAGGCTCATAAGCTACACTACACTGCCGTGTCCTGTTTTACCTCTGTATTGTGAGCAGTGTTGCCATAGTTACTTTGAAATGGTAATCTGACTACTGACTACTGATTACTTCTTTAAAAAGTAACTTGGTTAAGTTACTGACTACAAAGTAACTAAGTTAGATTACAAGTTACTTTATTAGTTACTTTCAGCAGCGGCTGATCCCCCACCCCATCCTTAGCTGAAATAAAATCTAAATTATTTGTTTGTATTTCCAGCTGCAAAAGGCGTACCTCTCTCCCTCCATTGTTTACATCTGACTCGTGGCGGAGCAGAGATGATGTAACATCATAGGAAACGTGTCACCAGAGACGATTTATACGATCTTTGGGGTCACATAACCCAAGTTGCCAAAAAATTTAAATAAATAAATAACCTATGTCGCCCTGAAATGCAAAAATAGTAACACACAGTGTATTAGATAAGTAACTTAAATCTGACTACTGGTTTGGAAATAGCACTGCGTTAGACTACTCGTTACTGAAAAAAGTAGTCAGACTACAGTAACGCTTTACTAAGTAGCACGTTAGTGGCATCACTGATTATCAGATACTCAAGTTTTCCTTCTGTAGGTTGATCCTGGAGCGAGAAGGGGCTCGCTCTCTCTTCCGAGGATTGGGACCAAACCTTGTGGGTGTTGCTCCTTCCAGGTATGACCAGCATGTTGACATGTTTGCCTACTATGGCCACTTTAATTGTAGTGTTGGAAGGATTTACACTGGACACAAAAATACAAACACACACACACAAACTAAAATCATTTTCTTGCACAAGGGAGGCTTCTCTGTCTTGCTGTGGGTTGCATAACAGTCTTAACAGGGTTAATGAAACAACAGTGGAGGTTATCCAGATGTGACTTTGTCATGTGACTGTAATAGTTGAGCTTTAACCTCAGAGAGGAGTGATAGCTTTCCTAATCTTCCACACAGACTGATTTTGTATCACATGACCAAGATTTACTTCCTGTTACTAAAACTGCAATTTATGCAAAATCATTTCATTATTATAAGCATTATAGTGGAGTTCATTCATCATTTTTTTTCCTCAGAAGAAGACCTCTTACTTTTCCTGACCAGCTGATTGAATGCTGTTAAGAATCTAAATAATATTTGCTTCTTGTTCAAAGTGCATCTGTATGAGGATACAGATGCACTTTGAACAAGAAGCAAATAAATCACCAGAGCTAACCTTTTACAGTGCACTGTACACTAGTTTATCCACAGATAATTTAAGCATTTAGGGTTATTTTAAATATGGCAGTATACATTGAGCACAGAAGGCTTATCTTTAACTTATCTTTTACCTTCAGCCATAAGAAGGTGGTGTGCATCTTGTTCACACAGCTGCTCAAGAAAGACAGAGGTTGTAAGATAAAACAATGTCATAGATTTCACAGTGAATATATTCACTTGTCACATCAGCTTTTAATACACAATAAAGTGCAGATAATGTGTCCATAAATTCATTGCATTAAGATCAAGATAAGAATAGAACCATTTACACAATTTCCAGTATATAGGAAAACCCATTGAGAACACTTTTTTTTCTGAGTCACTGGAGGTATATTTTTGTTTGGCCAAATTCAGTAATATTTAGAAAAAAATGTTATTTGCCTTGCCTCTTCCACAGGGCCATTTACTTTGCAGCATATTCCACGGCTAAGGACAAACTGAATGGAGTGTTTGAACCAGACTCTACCCAGGTGCACATGGTGTCTGCTGGGATGGCAGGTAATGACCACTCAAGTCTCCCCTTTATCCATGTTTGTGTGTCTGAAGTTATCTGGGCCAATACAGCTCTTAAAACCTTATTACATTTGAATAGATTTTTATTTGGCTTTGTTTTACCATTTTCTTTACATGCTGATTATTATTATTTTTATTTGTTTGATTCAATAAAAATCTTAAAGTACAATGGTATAAAACAAATCGCATTCTTATAGTGATATAGTTAAAGAAAGCACAATTTAAGGCTATCAGGATCAGAGTAATTTTGATGTAGAGCTCTAGTCATCTATACAGTATAATCTGAATCTTTATGCAGTCATTGCATTAATGAGTATTTTCTGAATTTAATTGTATTAATGGTATCTTCAGTATTTTTATTACCTGCAGCAAAAAGTTTGAAATACTCTTTGTCCATCTGGACATTCTAGTCCAGCAGATGGACATTGCAATCTGCACTTTTGTTACTAACACTGAATACAGCTTGCTGTTTGTTCAGGGCAGTGAAAGCTTCTGGTCCTTAAGTTTAGGTTGTGCTTTCAGTGGCTCTGAGCCCCTTGTCCTTGTGTTCTTTTTGTTTGTTGACCTCGTCCTTCTCATCTGTGTTTATTATATTGATCTTACGACCTTGTTGGGGGCCTCTGTTAATGGTTTAACATCCACGTTGTTACTTGAACAGTGTGGAGTGGGCTTTGCTCTGTGTGTACAGAGGAGAGAGCACGGCCAGTGGTCCACCGCGGCCCCTGGCACTCGGGCGGATGCGTCAGGTAGCACCCCATTTCTTAACACTGGTATGAGCCAAACCATGGTGATTTTATTTTTATAGGAAGATGCGTATTTTTTCATTTATAACTACCATTGCTTATAGCAGTGTGTCTGCTGCTTGTTTGTAGTCTTAGTTTCTCATTAGTTTTTGTTAGTGCCTTTATGCACACCCCTTCCTCTTAGACGTATTGTGATATCAGCAGTAAAGAAATGCTAACCTTGTCACTGTCTTACAACTTAGTGTAGGATATTGAGATAGAAAGAGCGCTAATGAGATAAATATGGTAAATGTTTAGCAATAATCTGATCCAATGGCCTATCTGTGTCTTCGTTATAAGATATTTCTATATAACTAACTCGTTTACATAGAGCCTTCCTTTACTGGTTTCACGAACATCTCTTTCTCACCTTTGACCTATAATTCCAGTGTAAAGCTCTTTTATTCAAGTCTGTTTGAAATGGCTCTTTGTTTAAGAAAAACAAATTGGAGGTTTAGCAAAACATTTCAGTTGTAACTTGTTGCATAATGTGGATTAGTTCAATGAGACTGGCAAGCATGTTAATCTCAGACCTTTGCCTTTAACCACTGCACATGCTTTGTGTCAATCACACAAAACAACAAGGTTAGCATTTCTGCATAATTGTTTTGCCATTTAACTTTATTTATTTATTTATTTTTATTAAATTTGTAGTTACTTCACTAATACATTTACTGAAAGAAGAGGTTGATAATTGACTAGTACTAGTTTTCTTCTGTAGGTTAGCAAAGGTTGAAGATAAATTTAGGTATATTCAATGAAATGCTATGATTACATTTTTATTTTTTAATAGATAATGATTTTGGTTGAAGATTTAGTGTAGTTTATATTTGAAGCAGGGGTGGGTGGGCCGTGAGGGCGGGGGTTAGATGTGACTGCTGTTGTGACTATGGTACAGAAAAGCCTGTGTCTATTTTAGGGCTTTATTATAAAGCTTTCACCCCTGCGTGATTGGGTGGGAGACCCCCGCCATCTGAGCCCCCCAAATCTGCAGGCTTCTAGCTGCAGCGGGGAGGAGCTGGAGGAGCTTTGCCCCTCCCTCGTGAGTACACGCCATAGACGCTACATTTCCCTTTTTCTACCTTCTCTCTCTCTCTCTCTCTCTCCCTTCTCAGATCTGTGGTCCTCTTCTCATGCAGTTGTCCTCACTTAGGGTTGTGTTGTCTACATAGATTTGCAGTGGCCTTAGATGTTTCTAGGAAATTGTTGTAATTTACAGTTTAATTGTGCATTTGCATTCAGTTTAATTTCAGAAATTACAGCACCACGACAGTACATTCTTTGCTGTACACAGTATTCAAATGCAATACAGAAAAACACTGCAATTGGAACAAATTCTTACTATGCAAGTAGTCCACTTGATTCATATCACAAGCTTTTTAGTGCACTACAGTGACAGATGAATTAAGGTTTATTATCTTAAGTTCTTTATGTAAAGCCCAGAGACCTCTCACTTTAGCCCTGTTCAATAATTAAACATTGTTCTCTAGGCACCATTTTGTTCTTCCATCCCTTGTTGGGATGCTGACAGTAAAAAAAAAAATGTGTGGGCCAAGACGTCCAGTGTAACAACTGACAAAGCAGTCATAAAGGAACTTTACAAAACACAACCACAACTCTAGAAATGTTTTTTTAATTGTACCACATAATTATGATTAAAAAGCTACACAATCCAGTATTAAAACATAGTTATAGCTATTTTATAACATTTATTACTTTTACAGTTTACCATTACAGTTGCATTCATATTTTCACTGTACACTACTATCTTTTGTTCTAAAAGTTTATTTCTTAAAGTTAAATATCATTAAATAGCTAAATATTTGTTTATGAACTTTGTATTAAATATGTCATGATAAACAGATGTTTTATACTAAACCCTTTCACAGTTAAGCATATGTTCATGTGATCATTTAACTAATAATACAATTTGTGATTTTGTGATTAAAACGCATTTTGACCCATCTACATTATGAAAGTGGTTTATACTTTCAAAGTACTTTCCCACTGTTCTTGTTTAGTTCATAAAAATCTGTTTAAATGTAATTAATTTATTTTGTGTGTGCATATTGTAACTTATGCAATTCTTCTCAAATTTTTAGGGTTCACAGCCATTACAGCCACCAACCCCATCTGGCTCATAAAGACTCGAATGCAGCTGGATGCCAGGTGAGCATCACAACAAAAACCTTTATTCAACTCAACAAGTGTCAATTATATGTGGTTAAGAATTCTAAACTAACAGTTATGTATTGTCCACAGAAACCGCGGGGAACGACGCATGAATGCACTGGACTGTGTGCGGCGGGTGTACCAGATGGATGGACTCAGAGGATTCTACAGAGGCATGTCAGCCTCATATGCTGGTATTTCTGAGACTGTGATCCACTTTGTCATTTACGAGAGCATCAAACGTAAACTGCTGGAGTCCAAAGCCCACACCAGCATGGACGAAGAGGATGAGGCTGTGAAAGACGCCTCAGACTTTGTAGGAATGATGCTTGCAGCTGCTACCTCGAAAACCTGCGCCACAACCATTGCTTATCCACATGGTAAGAATTATTTTTATACCTCTTACATACTCCTGCAAACAACTTATTAAGTCCAAACATTTTAATGTTTTTGCAGAGGTTATCCGCACACGACTACGAGAGGAGGGCAGCAGGTATCGCTCTTTCTTTCAGACTTTATTGACTGTTCCCAAGGAGGAAGGATACCGAGCATTGTATCGTGGCCTGACCACTCACCTGGTCCGACAAATCCCCAACACAGCCATTATGATGTGCACCTATGAAGTAGTGGTGTACCTGCTCGGGCGCTGACGAGGAGGCTTGTTCAAAGACCAAAGTACTTGAGCATACTAGAGACAAAGAACTTTTTTTTTTGTGTAAAACATTTTTGGTCCTTTAGTTCATCAACATTTATTTCTAGTACCATTTATTATGATACTGGATCAGAAGGTTCAACACTAGTAACTGAAGAATAGAGGACTAGAGTTCACAGATACATGGCGAGGAGTGTGAGACTAGACTCCATGGTACCTCTATAGGAAAAAGCACACATCAGTGGCCTTAACTACGTTTAAAGCTTACAATGCAGCCTTTTCCTCTGGTGCTCTTGATAATGTGAATGGGAGACACCTGAAAATCTTTTTTTGTATTATTATATTGTTACTTCATTGTCCAATATTAGTCTGAAGGCGACACACACCAAATTTCATTCACAAAACTATTGGAATGTGTTAACATGATGTAGTTAAATAACATTTGTTATGAAAAAATGGTCTGTAATTGAGGTAATTTATTAAATATTTGGTCTGTTACTAAGCACATGCTAAATGCAATTTGTAATTTTCCTTAACTGTTTAAGAATTTGCTCTTAATATGTGGACAATTGGCAATGGTACTTTTTATTATTAACTTAGCCCTTTTTGATTTTGCAGTACTTTATTTTACTGTGAAGGAGAAGGAAAGAATGCACAGTTATTAGAAGTACAGTAGCTTGTGTGAGGTCACCATTTTAATGAAAATGTTTCTCTGCATGTGCAATAATTTACATCTATTCAGATGGCCCTCTTCTAACAATGATTTGGAACGACAGAGTGTTGAAGAGCTTCTGTACAAGAATGACAGCTTTTCTGCCACTTTGCCAGTTCTTCTTTTCTAGTGACTTCCAATTTACCTTAAAACATGCACTTTTCGGGCTTGTGCTTTGCTTTTTGTGTGTGAAAATTTATGAAAAAGTATTATTGAATATTAAAATTGTATTTTGTGCAACATATATGGCAGATATATTGTAAAGCTTTGAATTCTCTGTAGCAGTGAAGGATGTCCATATGTTTGTAGACAATGCTGTAGATGTATGCATATCACTCATAAGGTCCTCATTATTCACTTGCCATTTGCAAGATATTTTTTGATTATATAGATTTTTTTTACGTACTGGTTTTAACTGTTAACTGCCATGTGAAATACCAGTGTGAAAATGATTTGATTGTTTTGCTGACGATTTTGCTAAGACATTTTTGTGTTTACATTTGTTCTGACATTCATTTCAAAATGTTGTAGTATTGTTATCTGTTCAGTATTTTATTTTGAGACATTTGGAGACTAAATGTAAAAAGTTGTTGTGAAAATTACTTGTGAAATTCAAACATTAACAAACCCTTTTATCACTAGGCTGGTTATCTATAAAGTAGTACTGTGATGTCTGACTAAATTCAGCCAGTTGTGTGTTTACCAGCAAGCAGAGGTATGTACTGAATACCATCACATTCAATTTTGGTTATGTTTGGTCTCCTTTATGTTTCTATGTGAAATTATTTTAAAGCATTCTGTAAAATCACTAATGATCCCTCAGATGTGCATTGTTTCTACATAGCCCCAAATATGGGGGCATTTCATGTAATTATCGTCTGTGTTTATTTGTCTTGATGTCTGTTTCCATTTGGGCAACTGAAATATTTTGTCATTTTTGATTTGACTTGATTTTGTTTTAATAAAAGAAAATGCAGGTACACGTGCTCGTCTTTTCTTTGTACTACTTCTACAATAAACTGCTTACATTGTGAGCGTGCCCTTCTCGTATCTCAGGGATTGTGTTAATAGACCACAGTCAGCAGATGGCGCTAAATGGAAGGAGAGGAATCAACGTCAACAGAGTCTATTCAAGTCTGTTACTGAAGTATTAAATGATCGATTTCTACTCTTGTACTCTAATGCGTTTAACATATAACCGAACTGATCAGTGAACGGGGATAGATGGAAATGGATAATCCATCATTGCGTATGTTGTGGTAGATATTAAACTTGCCTTAGGATATTTAGTATTGATTTATAATAGAACAAGCTTTTGAGTTGGTAGACAGACCACTTTCTGAATCAGAAGATTTATAGAAAATAGACGGTACATGTAAAAATAAATGAATGTTTTATGGACCCTTAGTAGTACACACACGCGCACACACACACACACACACACACACACACACACACACACACACACACACACACACACACACACACACACACACACACACACACACACACACACACACACTGGTTCTTAAGTACAGTATATTATATGGTCATTATTAGGGCTGAGTATCATTCAGAAGTTGCTAATATGATACATACCTTGATACACAGGCCGCGAAACAATATCTCGATACAGTGCACTTTTGATTTGATACAATATATTTCAAGTTGAATTAATACGCTTCAGTAAGAAATAATGACTAAATCACAGCTGTGATTCTAAAGTCTTTATTAAACCACTTCTTTTGTAAAGTTCATATGAAACACACCCATTTTAATAACCAAAACAGTGTATATGTCAAATGTGTTGCATAAACGAGTTTACTTCCTCTAAACTAGCAGCACTGTAACAAAATAATCTAACAAAATATACAAAAAAATACTCATTTATCGATGTAGCAGCCTCTTATATCGATACTGTATCATCACATTAAACAGTACGACTGACATTTTTACACCCCCCCTAGTCATTATGTTATATTATTTGTATTATTATTATTATTATTATTTTCTTTATTTACGCATCACACACATCAATACTAATTATACATATTTAAATTATCTCCTGTCTTAATAAGCATATTATGCAAATAGAGACAATAAAAATATAGAAAGCTACATAAATCTTATTAAACTTGAACGCATCTTGAGGTCCACAGCCAATCAGATCACGGCACAGTCCTACGTCACAGCCCAGTTAACCAATCCGTGAGCACTCTGTGGAGTAAACCGAGGTGTTCTGCGTCGGTCCTCCGCCGCCACCGTCGCTGATCGAGCTCCTGTTTACCGCAACAAAGAAGCGGATCCGTGCCTCCACCACTGTCACATTTGTCACCACGCTGGGATTATGTTTCTGTCATCGGCGGACTAGAAAACTGACCGATTCCGTTGTCTTTTTCTTTATAAACCGCGTGATAAAAGTACGCTTCGTGGACGATTTGAGTTTCTACGGTAAGTGTTTCCCTGTTTACACCGGATACAGCGGCTCAGGGATTTGGAGCGGTGGGTTATTTGTAGTCAGACTCGGACCGTGGCGTGTGGTTTAATTAAATAGTTCTTTATCTTTACTGTGTAGTTTTACGCACACGATCAGCTAACTTTCTTTGTATATGGTAGTTGATGACAAAGTTAGTCCACGGAAACACTGGGTTATCACTTGATACAGAATAGGATTGTGACTTCAACTTTCATCTTACCGTAAACAGGCAAAGGTGATGGTCTTATAAACATGTTGATCTAATCTAAAGTGACCATTTATTTTCCTTATCGGCTACTTCTTTTGCCACTTAAGTAATTCTCACTCTGGATGATAAATCTTCTAACTGCACAAAGCATCTGCACGACTCATTGGCCAATCTCTGTTAATACGGTGTCTATGGAATTTAATTGAGCATATTTTGCATGGTGTGTTCCGGTGGATTCTGGGATGTAGGACGGTGTTCGCCAGGTGTCCTCTCCAGTGGATTGGTAAGCATCTTGACTGATGACTTGTGAAAAAGAGGGGGTCCTTGGGGGCTGTGGTTGGCATCATTTAACATTCAACACGGCTAGAGCTGCAGGGACTTTGTGAAATCTTTGACTTTGTTATGTTTAATCAAGTAGATAGGCTTCATCTTTTGAATAGTGTAAGTCTGTTTGAATTTTGAAACCGCAGTGGACTACAGATGGTGAGGAGTCAGAGTTGGAGAGCCATCACTCAAAGTCAATGGCCACACAAGAGTTGACTCAGTGTTGTTACATGTTAATTAATCAACCATGTGGTGATGAATGATGATTTAATTGTTTACTGGGCCAGTTTCTCCTCACCAGTGCTCTGTTCCTCAAAGTACCATGTCTCTCCCTCTTGTTTCCAGCCCTCTCATGAGAAGATCTTTCAATGTGAAATTTTCTCTAGTCATCATTATTTTTAATTACTTATATTTCCCTGACTTGCCTCCACTGTGCAAGTTATGCATTGCCACAGGAAGTGGGCTCCAGCAGGAAGCAATTCAAAACATCTGAACATTTGAACCCTCAAATTAGACCAAATCAAGGCACACATCAAACTGCAGAGTAGTGAGAGCTACTGGGAAAAGGTCCATATCAGTGTCATATTATTTCCTAATGTGGAAAAACTTTATTTTAGTTGTATAATTACTGGATTGTCACATTATTCAGTTTGCAATGCTAGCCAATACAAACAAGAAGAAGAAAAAAATTAATTTCTCACTGCTTTAGATATTCAGTAAAATGTAGTAATTGTTAGTGAGTTCATAGACTACTATTTTATGTAAATGTTAAAGTATACTTTATTGATCCCTTGTGAGGGCAATTCATTCTCTACATTTGACCCATCCTTCAACCAGTGCCACTGGGGCAACCTGTCAGAAGCAGTGAGCTACTGCTGTACAGCTCTCTGGGACCCATCTAGAGCTGAGTCGGTCTTGGTCAGGACTACACTAGCTGAAGGATTTTACCTACTATGCATGTTTTGGGTGGATGGGGGAAAAAAAACGATGCCTGGATGAGACCCACCTAGAAACTGGGAGACACATGTAAATTCCGCACAGAAAGGCCTGGGTGACTCAGGAGTTGAACTTTCTTCCTGTGAAGCGTGAATGCTAGCCACACCGTGCTGCCAATATTAATCACCATATAATTTATATAATTTTGACCTTCCTGTGTAATATAATGTCATAAATACCTTTTAAAATGATTAAATTACTTAATGTTACAAACATAAAGAAACATAAACCGCTGTTTAGCACATGAGTGAGCTAAGCCTATAGAACTGTTACAAGCAGCATTGTCTCAGTCTGAATCAGAGGCAGCGACAGTGGTGCAGAGAAACAAACAGATGAGATGATGTGTTCCTCTTGCTCTTGACAGGTGCTCAGTGTCCCAGAATTGAACAAAAAACACACCTGCCCCGCTGTGGACGTGACTAACCAGGTCACAGCAAACACACTGTAACTGAGGTAATGGTTCTTTACTGTAAAATGGGCACATTCACTGCCTGTGCCTGTCAATAGATAGAGGAATACATTGACCCACCATGCATATTTCCACTCTATGTTTTAGCTTGCTCATCAGTTCTAAAAAGCCTGGTTGATTCTGCTTGTCATGCTGCGTGCTATGTGTCAGTTTTAGAATTGATTTCCAGTGGTGGGATGTTAATCAAACACTTGTCAATGGTGGGGGGCATGTCCAGTCCATGCAGACCCTCAGGGAAGAGACATAAACTGGAGGTTATTAAAGGTAGAAAACCTTGGGTTTTAGATTGCGTGCCACAAACTGTCTTCTTGTCACATTTTGTGTGAGTAGTCATCTGTCTGACGCCTTCTCACACAAAGTTTTCACTTATTTTGCCTTGTGAAGTGAATTGAAGTAGGGATTTGTAACGGCATTTGCATATAAATCACAGTTGACAGGTTGTGTTAGGCTCATCGTCATTTATCATTTTATCATTTTCTGTGAAATTAAAGCAACTGTCTGTAACTTTATTCATTTTTTCTACAGTTGATGACAGATGTGAAACGATTTCCAACCAGGAAGTAAAATTTTAAACCTAAAAATTATAATATATCTTAACTGTGTTTCAGTCAAATAAGTAGTGTAACCTGTCATAGGAACTTTAAAGTCCCCTCTTCAAGAAAAAATATGTTTAAAATCATGATTAAATTACTTTGACTGGCAGAGTATGTCACTTTACTATAGTGTATCATTAAGCAGTATATTCTTGGAAAATTGTAGATTGAAATTGTTTTGCAAGTGATGATATTTTATGTTAACATTTGAGTTAAGGTTAAAATATAAAACAGCATACATCTAAGAACATGTTAGATCTAAAATATCAGGTTACCAGGTTTCATGACAGAAGATAGATGATGGTTGTTTGAAGATCAGTGCTTTAAAAAAAAACAACAACACAATTTTAATGATCACATTACAATTGTGATTTCTATTAAAGTGTGATAAATTTTGCAGACTTAGGTTAGTTTTTATTTTTTCCTTTGATGTAACTATGTAAAACAGCGCTAAGACTGTAAAATGACATTTAAAAATATGAGTATGAATATAGCATTACCAAAACACTATTTAATGCTGGGAAAGAAATGTTATTCTGTTATAAATCAGAAAGACGAGATATGTTGTGTAAGCTTATGTATCATATTGTAACAGGAATCCTGGCTGCCTGTGCCCACAGTTTACTTTCAAAGCTAAAAATAGAGTAGACACGCAGTAAGGCTCCTGCCCACACATCATCTTCACTAATATTAGAGTTTTGTGCTAGACCTAGAATACACATATTTAAATGCTACTAGTGGCAGTAAACTATGCCCTAAGTACTAGTTTAGTCCAGGGGACTAGCATGCATGAGTAGTTCTTATGTGGTTATTGGCTGAGTGTCTTTTATGTGCCTCTAAACAACAGAGAAAGAGCTTTTAGTGAAAGTACCTGCTTCACTTCAAGTGCCCCTCAGTGCTGTTTTTGGTTGCTT